GGAATTGAACCCGGGACCTCTTGGTCTATGGGACAACGCTCAATCCACTGAGCCACCACAGCCAGGCTCTGCGGTGCCATTTCTTTGTGCACATCATGGCAGCTCCTGAGCGCTGCCCCCTTGTGGTCAGTGCGTGTCATAGTACCAGCCGGAAGGTGGGAAGGACATGTAGTATATTAGCCTTTTATATAGATAGATTCTTTATACATTGCTGATTGTAGGAACACTATGGAATGCCTGCAAAACGTTATCATCCTGTGTAAAGTTGGTGCACACTCACATGAAACCATTGATTCTCTATATTTTGCACAACAAGCACACTTCTTGCTGTTTCACTGCTGTTTTTGATGTAAGAACACGTTTCTACTTTGCAGTCTCATCTTTGAGGAGCATTTTTAAAAATATATTTTATTGATTTTTTACAGAGAGGAAGGGAGAGGGATAGAGAGTTAGAAACATCGATGAGAGAGAAACATCGATCAGCTGTCTCCTGCTCAGTCCTCACTGGGTATGTGCCCGCAACCAAGGTACATGCCCTTGACCGGAATCGAACCTGGGACCCCTGAGTCCACAGGCTGACACTCTATCCACTGAGCCAAACCAGTCAGGGCTTTGAGGAGCATATTAATCCTCTGATGTTCATATTTAACTAAAATAAAAAAATGAGCCCTGGCCGGTTAACTCAGTGGTTACAGCATCTACCTACATACCAAAGGGCCATGAGTTCGATTCCTGGTCAAGGGCACAAACCTCGGTTGCAGGCTCCCCAGCGCCAGTATGGACGCGTGCCATGTGTCTCTCTCATGCTGATGTTTCTCTCTAGCTCCCTCCCTCCCACTCTCTTTAGAAATCAATGGGGAAAATACTTCGGTGAGGATTTTAAAAATAAATAAATGAGAAGAAAAAGGTATGAAACCATCCATTTCCTAGAAGTTGGAAGAGAACGTTTGTTCTATGATCTTGAATTTCCTCCTGACTGAGCAATAAACAAACCTGGCCAAGGAACTACTGCCTCCACTCTCAGTGACTAACCAGCCCCGAGGCGTCCCAGGCACAGGACGAAAACAACGCACAGCTGGGAAGATGCCTTTGGCTCTACAAGGAGGTAGTCACTTCATTCACTAAGCAAACTGGTGAGCACCTGCTGGAGCGATCCATGTCTTCAACGGGAGAATAGAAGTTTCCAGGACATTTCCCAAACACCATTGTCTTCATCTCCTAAATTCCTGTGGCAGCTACATATGACAGGGAGGCAATGCCAAACAACAATGCCAATGTAGCCCTGACACAGGGACAGAAAAAAGCGCCTGTTCTGAGGGAGAGGCCGGGCACAGGCTCAGGCTGTGGGTCTGACTCTGAGCCACACGCTGCTCCTTCTGTTAGCACTCGCCTCCGGAAGTTACAGCTCACGCTGCTGAGCTTTCAGGATTTAGTCACACACCTCGATGTGATTTCTATGAAACTTGCTTCTTAGAAAAATAAAGCTTTGAAAGGTGTGGCACAAAACATGCTCCTAAATACTTGTAAAGGGACAAAGCAAAGCATGAACCTCAGGACCTACAATGCACGCTCCCCATGAAGGGGACAGTAGTTGTGTCTAGTGTCCTCAGGTTTGCAAAGTGACATGCATGTGCCCTCACCCTCCCACCCCCCAAAGGGAGAGAAGTGCCCCCTCTGAGCACCACTACGGGTATCAACTGGGAAGGCACCAGCTGCTGAGGAGAGGTGTCCTGCTTGCCATCCGCCATCCAGGTCTCATGGCGAGACTGACCTACCACTGTTCTCTCCCCATACACTTGTGCAAATAATGAATAAATGAATGAGCAAGTGAGTGAATGAGTGAATGAGTGAGTGAATGAATGAATGAGTGCGTGAGTGAATGAATGAATGAGTGAGTGTGTGAATGAGTGAGTGTGTGAATGAGTGAGTGAGTGAATGAGTGAGTGGATGAATGAGTGAGTGGATGAATGAGTGAGTGGATGAATGAATGAGTGAATGAGTGAGCGCTCTCCAGGGAAGCCAGTCCTCGGCAGCTGCTGCTGTCTGCACAGGCTCAGGACAGAGCTCAGACAGAAGGGGGCATTGGAATGAGTGCCTGTCCCTGCAGGTGGGTCTGGTGCTCAGATCCGTCAGACACATTGTAGTTGTCTCTGGCAACACAAGTACAGAGCTTGTGACTTATCAATGTGCAGAGTGACATCACTGAAGACCGCTGATGCCGAAATATAAAGTCCTGCCCTGAATGCGTCCCAAACACCACTAGTTTAAGTCTATTTCATGGTCGGTAGTGACACACTGAGGAGACCTCCGCAAAGTATTTTTTTAAAATATATTTTTCTTGCAAAACCGGTTTGGCTCAGTGGATAGAGCGTCGGCCTGCGGACTGAAAGGTCCCAGGTTCGATTCCGGTCAAGGGCATGTACCTGGGTTGCGGGCACATCCCCAGTGGGAGATGTGCAGGAGGCAGCTGATCAATGTTTCTCTCTCATCGATGTTTCTAACTCTCTATCTCTCTCCCTTCCTCTCTGTAAAAAATCAATAAAATATCTTTTAAAAAAAATAATAAAAAGTAAAAATATATTTTTCTTGATTTCAGAGAGGAAGGGAGAGAGAGAGAGAAACATTGATGAGAGAGAATAAGTGATCGGCTGCCTCCTGCACGCCCCACATTTGGGATTGAGCCCACATCCTGGGCCTGTGTCCTTGACTGGAATCGAACCTGGGACCCTTCAATTGCAGGCTGGTGCTCTAGTAACTAAGCAAAACTGGCTAGTGCCTCTGCAAAGTTTCTAGGCTGCTATGCAAAGGTTCACATAGGAATCCCGCCAAGAACAGTCATTTTTCCTCCGTAGAACCTCACTTACAATCCCAAACAACAGAATGGAAGGAAAGTGATACAGAAATGCTTCCGGAGGTCTTTCTTAGTTTAAACCACGGCACCTCGCGCAGCACCTCTGAGGTGCTCGGAGGCCTGGACACGCTGGGTGACGTCCTTGCTCGGGGACGATGACTCTAGAAGTTGTGCACGGCCTTTCTCTGCTGCTTTGTGCAGTAAAATAATAATGTGCTGTACAACAGGGTTCCCACAATGTAATGATAGTGTCTTTCAAAAGTATTATTCACAGAGTAGTACATCCAAAATCACTGCATTTTTCCTGTCCTCTAGCTTATGAACAACACATTTAGTTTAAAGAGCATTTTCATACAATTGCCTTCCACCAATTTTGGAGTAAACTGAAGGTCTGTGACTTAGCTGTGCATGAGGGGAACTGTCCAGAGCTCAACCCAGGGCTGCCATGACCAGCCCCTTCCCACCAGGGTGCTTCTACCCACAATTCGAAGTCTCCCGCTAACTTCACCACAAGGAAACAAAGAAACCCTTCGGAGAAAATGTGCATCTCAAAATAGCAACTTGAAGAATTTGGTAAAACTAGAAAGTCACCCTCCACTTTTCAAAGAGTGAAAAAGTTTGAATGTTACCCCTTCTCTAATTGTCCAAACACCTTCAATGGGGCCCTAGTCAATTACGAATCAGCACCTGAGATGGACCACTTATTGACAAGAAAACATGGACGTCTATGCCTGATTATAATGCCGCTGCGCACCCCACTGCAGGCAATGGCCACTAAATCACATCCTGGGGCCAATCGCTTAGAGCTCAGCGTCAAATTATATTGCAAGCTGTTCATCTCACCCTCCTTTTCTAATTAATTTTCTATAAAAGAGATGTTTAGCCCTAGCCGATTTGGTTCATTGGATAGAGCTTCGGCCTGCAGACTAAAGAGTCCCAGGTTTGATTCCCGTCAAGGACACAGGTGGGGGTTGCGGGCTCCATCCCCAGTAGGGGGCGTACGGGAGGCAGCCGATCCATGATTCTCTCTCATTATTGATGTTTCTACCTCTCTCTCCCTCCCCCTTCCTCTCGAAAAGCAAATATCACTGGAAGGCAATTTTGTGTATATATATATATATATATGTACACACACACAGACACAGAGAGAGATGTTCAGAGTCTATTTCCAGCTGTGACCAGTGACAGCGTTATCCTCGAAGCGTTCTATCTGGAGGGAGAGTGAGCGGCTCCTGCAGGAAGTGCAGAGGACTGGCAGCTGCTTTACTCTGTGGCTCCACCAGAGAAAAGACTGAAAGCCCTTGGCACTTTGAGTGAATGGGAACTTCTTACCTCTAGCAGAAGTCACTGAACCCAATATGGCTGCGGCGTCTCAGGAAATGGCCTCCTATTAAAAGTCAATACATTTACGCAGAGTTCTATGTCCAGCACAGAGAGTCCCGCAGAGGGAGAAGGGCGGCCAGCTGGACAGGGCACCTTCGGACCAGGGGCCGCACCCCCCCCCCCCCCCCCCGCCGCGCGTCAGCTTCTGCAGCCGAGTCAGCTGCCCGAGGGGAAACTGCTCCCGGGCTTTTTATGCAGGAACGTCTTCATCCTCCAGCTGCCCAGGACTTCCCCCTTCACAGGAAGATACAATGACCGCTCCCCCCAAAACACAAGTCATCCTCTCGCAACTCCACTGCGGTCAGGTTTCTCCAGCCTCCAGCCCCCGCCCCGGGGTCCCTCCTGCCAGTTCCGGACGGTCCCGGAGTCTCGGCCCCATCGGCGTGTGCCCCGGGGAGGAGGGCACCCGCTGAAAACGGGGGTCCGCTCCCAGGGCCTGACCCATTCCCTGCACTGTGCCCACGAGTCAGGCTACCGGCCCCACTAACTGCACTGTGTGGAAACGGGGCACCACGCTAAAGTTGGGGGGACATCCCAAGCCCTTTATCACCAGGCAGAGACCCCCGCTTCCCTGCCCTCCCTCTCCCGGGGCCCACAACTCACCCAGCCGCCATCCCCGCCGCGGTGCCTCTAAGCCTCTTTCTCCTTCCCCACGTGCACCGCCCGGGGCGCTCCGACCCGCCCACCGGGGCAGGACACACCCACACCCACCGTGATTGGCCGGTGAGGAGCGCGCAGGCCTCCATTGGCGGAAGTGCCTCCCCTGCCTTAGCCACTCCCGGCGCCAACTCGGTCCAGAGAGGCCGGGTGCACGCCCGCTATGACACCCCGTCGCCCCGCGCCCCAACCGGACCAGAGCTGCATGCGGTATGTGCTGGCATGTGTTCACCTGTCCTGAGTTGTCCGCCTGCCGAAACCCACAACCTCCCGAGGCACCGCCACAGCTTCCCGCCCCACATGCTTGTCCGGGCGGAGACTGGTTTCTCCTCAAGTTTAGGACCTAAACTGTTCTGGGGTCGAGTTGACCGTTCATGGCCTGTATGTCCGGGGTTTGTGGACAGGCCTTGGAAAGACCTCCTACCTGTGCTGGAAACCATGGATGTTGGATGGGATGTGGAGGTTGTGGGCCGCAAAAGAGAAAGAAAAGAGGATGGCTGGCGGGCGGAGAAGAAATCCATGAGGACGGAGGGACTTGATGCACTGGGCTCCATGGGCAGAATGCGCTCCGATGACGCTTCCCGCTTGCACCCTGGATGCGGTATGTATGTATGTATGTATGTATGTATGTATATATGTATTCAGATGATATTTTCTTGAGTTGTCCACTTGAATAACCTTAATGTTTTTGTTGTTGTTTTTTGTTTAGTTCCATACAAAGATTGCTATTTATTCATATCTGATTTATTCATTTTTTATTTTACTTTAAAACCCGTATGGTTTTATGAACCGGTGTATCCCCAATAATTTCGAGAGAGAGAGAGAGAGAGAGAGAAGATGAGACGATCCCTGAGTACTGCCTCATTTAGGTTTCAGCTCCTAGGCGGCAAAAGTGTTTTTGTGCCCTAACTGGTTTGGCTCAGTGGATGGAGCGTTGGCCTGCGGACTCGACGGGGGGGGGTGGGGTGGGGGTGGGGGACAGGGGCGCGCGGTTATTTTTTCCAGGTTTGATTCCGGGCCAGGGCATTTTCCTTGGTTTTGGGGCACCTCCCCAGGAGGGGGTGGGGGGGAGGAAGCCAAGGGGCTCGAGGGTTTTTTCGTGGAAGGTTCTTTCCTCTTCCTTCCTTTTTGGGAAAAAAACCAAAAAAAAAATTTTTATAAAAAAATTTTTTTTTTTTTCCCCCCCGGGAAGGGAAAAAAAGGAAAAAAAATAAAAAAAGGAAAAAAAAGAAAAAAGGGGAGGCAGGCCCCCGGGACCTCTTTTGCCCCTCCCCGGTTGTTTTTGTTTTTTGGGGGTGTGGAGAGAATGGGTTGAAGGTAGTTTTTTTTACTTCCCGAGAGAAAATTTTTTTTTTTTTCCAAAGGGGGGGTTGGGGGGGGCGTCCGTTGTTTTTTTCTCCGCCCCCTTCCTCCGAAAAAAAAA